CAAGCAATAGGGATTACCCAAGTGAAAATGAAATTCAACGTAAACACAAGCACAAGCAAAATCATCCGAACCTTTCAAACTGTTTAGGCGCGAGGTCAGTAATGGCTAAACATAACCAAGTGTGGTAAATATTTTTGTGCTTGTGTCATACCGGAGCGGTATTTCGTTTTCACTTGTTGCAGCGCAAACGAAAGGATGAGCGCAAGCACAAGAAAAAGAAAAAAAATTGATCCTTGTGCTTGCGCTCGTACTTATGCCTGCGCCAAGGCCGTTTTGACGGGGAAATAAAAATTACTGTGTTTGCGCTTGTGCTCGCGTCGTTAGAGAAAACCAGGCTTAAAAGCACAAATTTGGCTGTAATTTCCTTAAGCGGATACAGTTTTGCAAATGCCCGAATAATCCAATTAGGCCTATAATTTGTGCAGTAAAATTACTTTTTTGGTCCTCAAATATGCGTCCGAATTAGTGAGATTACTTTTCCTTTGTTACGTCTAGACATATTAATAGCCTGTTCCCCAGACTACAAGTTAAAGGACATAAATGTATGTTTGTGGCGTATTAAAACGATCATAAACAGCATAACTTGACTCATTTGGGTCAATCATTTAGTTATTAGTTATGGATATCTGGGACGTTTGACAGCTAATCTATCGGATGATATTGCGTTTTTGACGTTTTTGACACAATAAAGTTATTGTTGTTGTTGTTGTTGATGGTTAATAGCGAGGAACGAAGCGAAGCGGAACTTGCAAGGAATAGCTCTGCATACCCATTACCACATAGCGGCAGACTAAGTTATGGGAGGAGTCCACGACTACTGTGACAGGTAAGGTATGCAGCGAGAGATGAGGGTAGCACCGTCAACCGGCACCAGGGGTGGAGGGTGGGGCGACAGAACCTTCCTCCGCCGGAACGCCGGAAAAATGACAATGATCACTGAAGGCAAAACCGGTAATTTAAACGAAGAGACCGCAAAGCATCATGCCCGCCCTGGGGCATAAAAGCATGGTGGAAATTGAGGGATTAAATCAACCTCCGCGATGCGCGTATTACGTATGCAGTGAGAATAGAAGTAACTTTAAGCCGGCGAGCAACGCCGAGAAGTGGAGCGAGCCAGGAGTAGAGAATGGTGGCAAAATAGTGGCGAAATGATCCGGCGGAGGAAGGTGCACGGGACTGCCGTTTGCATTGAGGGTGTGTTCCAACCACCAAGCAGTTCAGTCCTTACAACGTTTGCTGGAAGTTTCTGCCTGGAAGATTCAGCCTGTCTATTGAAGTGAATTGCCAAATTGTGGTAACTGACTCTTTGTACGATGTAGAAACTTTCGTTGTGTTTCATCAAGAGAAAACCCTAGTTTCATTAATATTTATTGTCTTCTAGAACTGAATCCACGCTATGAGACATTTTATAAATTTCTTTGTTTTAATTTCCTAATCTCTGAGCAATAACACTTGAGTTGCTTTGTCGAAGTCAGTGTTAAGGTCCACATCAGCCTAGTGCTATTACTCGACCTTTTCAAATAAAGTGTGTATGAATGTAAGTTTTATTTAGCTCGTAAACAAATAGTTTTCTGTCGGTTTTCGCCGATCACATCTAAAAAAATTAAAACTGCTTTTTTTTTTAAATGCTGCCCAGCGAGTTTTGAAGTTTTCTTTGTGTTAGTGGGGACAACCCCTTCGTAGACTACTAAAACGTCTTCTGTTTACGGATGGAGGCCAAGAAAGGTCAAGAAACCATTTTGTATGATTTTCTAAGTTTATATTTGACGCTAGTACGTGGTGGTTTGAACCTGTTTACAAAGTATGGAGATTTTCTCTTTCTGTTTGTTCAGTTTATTCGGTTTGGTGCAATGCTTCCTTAGGTTAATTGCTTTACATGTTTATTGGTGAAAGACTGGTAAAGCAACGGGCGAAAAGGAAGTTTGGTTTGAAAATATTAGTTAAATGTGTGGGGTAATGAATGGGTTCTTTATCATAAAACAAATGAAGCTACCGGACTGTGCTCTGTTCTGTTGTAAAGCACTTAGGAAGGGGTAGAGCACTCAAGAAGTGGAAGAAACACTCGACCACGTCTCGTGTTTCCCCATACACTTCTTTCGTGCTCTACCGCTTCCTAAGTGCTTTACAACAGAACAGAGTACAGTCGAGGCTTCTTTATTTGTCAAGTACATTTCTTTACCGTCCTCTGTACAACAACAGCTTGAACGACTAAGTTCTGAGTATTTTGGAGAACGCAAACAACGGCAGCTAACGGCGGCTAATTTTTCGTATTTTCATTTGGAATTATTAAATGCTGGGGTTACATATTTAGCTTGAGCAAGTTCTGAGAACAATAAACGCACTTAATAACGGAGTTCCGGGGCCTCCGAAGGGCCGCCAAGCGGAGCCCCATACTCATAAGAAAGAGAAGGAAACCCATGAGTTGATTTTCTCATGGTTATCATGGCTAGCGGTATTGCTCGTGGG